TTCATTCATTTATTCTCTATTGGGATAAAAGAGCAAAAAAAAAAAAAAAAACTCCAACTATATCCATAAGATTGATACCCTTGTTCACATTTCTTGAAAGGACAAAATTTTGAATATGTTAGTAGATCACAAATTTCTGAGAGACATACTCTTGCTAGAAGAGATGCCTCTATTTTTGTATTGAAATGGTAAAACTTTGAACAAGAAAAGGAAAAATATACAATTATTATATAGTCCAGTCATGAGTTTGTAACTAGACCATAGTACAGTTAATACACATCGAGCAAAAAGGAACATATCATGCATTATTATGGATGAGAAGTATACAAACAAATCCATTTTTCATTCTTGCCCTTATTATTAATTAAATAATTAAATTAATTGTAAATTTAAGTAAAAGACTCCTCTCTACATAAGACATGCCGTCAAAAAAACATCATCCCCTTCGACTCTCCATCAACGATGATGCCCACTGAATGATCTAAACACTTGATTTTTAAGTCGTTCAACAGTATTCTCCCCAACCAATTGTCTATTTTTTAATCTATTCGATTGAGGGAAAAAATCTCTGAGATTCATGTGTGATTTCTTTGGTATTGCATTGTACGTGATTCTTTCATTAATTGAGCATCAATAAAACTTTGTAACTTATTGAAATTTAACAACCTTCAAAAATCATGCCAAATTTGTGTGAGACCACAATTCAATGTGTATTCTAAACCTAGTTTGGGATAGGGGTTAGGAGGGGGAAGGGAGGGGATTGTTTGATTTTAGCCGGTTTGAGTATGTGGGACAATGAATTCACACGAGAAGTTTAATAAATTTGAATGATGAACAACTTATATCATTTAACATTCTACTTCGTAATGGAACTGGTCAATAACATATTGAATGGTTAACCATGGATATTTTGGAATAAATAGATGAAGATGTTCGATTAGTATTGAACAATTTTGTGATTATAAATAATCTGGACAAAGTTAATGTTTAAGCAACAAAATTATATTTGACATCAAAGACCATACTAGTTAGTGTTTGCCGGAGAATTCCACTAAACTGAAGAAAATATTGTATTGTTGAAGAGACAAGAGACTTTGAAAAATAGGGAGGAAGGACTAGTGAGCGACGGAATTCGTTGAGAGAAAGAGGATGAAGAAGAGTAGTTCTTAAAACAGTAGTGATACATGCGGGTAAAATTTACAACTGAATCTTAATTATTTTCTAACACTTAAATGATAAACAAATAAAGATAAGGTTAAACTATGGACGATTATGATGATTCATTTCATATATATTTTCCTTGAAAATTTTCCATACAACAATCATTGCTCTTTTTGAAGTGGGATGCTTAGATAAAATTAGGAAAAATTTGGTTAAAGGATGATAGAACAAATCAAATTAATAAAAGGGGTATAACCAAAAAATATTTTTTAAGAAGGCCAGTAAATTATTTGTCAAAAATCATAAACTAAAAAATATTTTGAATTGACAATGGCACTCTTATGATTTCTTACACAAAATAATAATGATAATAATAATAATAATAATTAATAAAACAAAAGCCAAAATCCATCTTACAGATTAATGAATAAGAACCCTATTCCCTTTTACAAGAATCCAAAACTCACGGTAGCAAAATGCAGTTTTCATCCTTTTATTACTTTTTTCGTCTATTTGTGAATTGAAAATTAATAATAGGTAGACATAGGATTTTGACATGAAACAAACAAAATTGTTTCCGAGTAAATGCATTGGATCATGAACAAAAGTGTTTTGAGCAAAACAATCGTTTGTTATCATCGTTTGCTATATACATATGGACAACTTTTTCATATTTTAATTGTGCCCAGAAGAGAGAGTTTACTGCATCAAAAGAGATTTCCATTTTCCATAACGCAAGTGTCATTAAATGCACAAAAATGGAGATCCCACGTTTGGAGTGGAAATTAAAGTCACTTCTTCGGCATGCACCATTCCTACTCGGCTGCTTACTTCCCCATTTCCATGAATTTGCTATTTTTAGACATTTGAATTTGCAGAATATTTTGCCATAAAGAGTTATCATTTTTTGCATAAGATATAGACATGCTTGGGTGGATGGATTAAGTATTTAAAATTACTCTTACTGATGCATTATGTTAAGAAAGGACTACATTAATAAACAAATAAATAATACATTCGTATGCAATGAATAGCTAAAATTCACTTGACGAATAACCATATATGATTAACACCAACTGATAAAGAATAATACCAATACTAATGAACAAGCATATAAATGTTCAACCCTTACATATGCAATACTGCTGCAGTAACGATGAATAACAAAAACTAAAAAAATGAATAAGCACAATACAAGGATGAATACATAGAATTTTTTTTTTTAAAAAAATCACATTTTCACTCCTGATTATACATTATAACGATGAATAATCAAGACAACAATGATGAATAATGGACAAATATGGCCTAACTATTTCAATAATAAAGAATAGTTGATGAACATTTAGATTGTAGTTGATGAACAACAACTAAAATAATGAATAATAATCACATAACGTAATTACTATGATGAATAACCCTTTAATATATATTGATGAATAATGGCTGGGTAACTGATGACAAGTAAAATGATGGAAAATCCTTCAAACTCAACAACTAATAGATGAACAAATCTAACAAGTTGGTGCACAACCATTTATAAACGATGAATATTGAATACGAACTAATAAATTACCCCCATATCTATTAGTATCTCCCACAAACACAGCAAATACGATGAAAAAAAAACTTAAAAACTGATGAAAAAGGATCTATAATCGAATGTATATACCCTAGATCAACAAAACCATCCAAAAAAGCATCAATTATTGAATAGATTAATAGTCTTACCTTCCTTCATCTTTGTTTTTCAATCTGCTTCTATTTGAATCATGATCCTCAATCATTGCTCTCTACATGGATGATTCAGTGTATATATATATATATATATATATATATATATATATAAACCATTCTTATAACTGGATCCATGGAGTAAACACATAAAACTGATTCTCTACATGAAAGATTTTGAGAATTTCAAATAAAATTCACCGGACAAAACACAAAACAGATGAAAAATCTCAAATTTTACCGTAATTTTCATATTCAGCAGCGTATATTACAACCAAACTCACAGGATTTTATGCACAACCGGATTCCGTCTTCAAAAATACCGCCGACGAGAGGTTTTGATGCTAATCGGCGCAGAGAATATTTGGTTTTTTAGATTTTTTTTTTTAGTTTGAGACGTCTTTGGATTGGAACAGGAAGTTGGATATGATTAATGATGACTGAAATTAGAAGGAATATCCGAGAATTGAAAATTTGAATGCAAGGTGTACCTAGGAGCTCTATATTATAATTGACCAACCAGGGACCAATAATAATCCCCGATTCAGTAGGTTTGGCCATTTGGGTGCTTTATTTATTTGTTAATAATTAAGTTTTGTTTGGATGTTTCTCAAAAAGAGTGAGGTGAAACAAAAAACAAATCCTCCTAAATCCATAATTACAAAAAAAAAAAAAAAATCTTGTAAATTACTCTCTCAGTCAGAAAATTATTATCCACTTTAGATTTGCAGTTTTAGTTCAATTTGTACTAAAAATAAGAATCCAAATTAAACACTAATTTCAGGACACGGTGGCTATGTCATTAGTAGGTTAAGGATGGATAAGTACAGTATTTCTCAGAATATTTCTTGCATCAAACAAAATTTTGATGATTGGATGATTAGTTAAAAATAATTGGACCGTAAAATTTCTCTAGATATAATTAGTCAAAATTAAAATAATTCAGCATACTACAAGAAAAACCGATGGAAAAAAAGAAGAAGAAGAAGAAGAAGAAAAATGAAAAAAATAATTCGCAATTGTAATAAGTGATAAAAAAAAAGGTCGAACTGTTAATATCTAATCCTATTCTTCCCCGGAAACAAAAAAGGGCTAGATTAGAAAGCGCGCATCGCAGCATTGCCCTTCCTCCGGCGCCACCGTGATTGCAGTTCCGGCCATCGAGACCCGCTAGAAATCACGGCGAACACGGTAATCGTACATCTTCAATTCTCCTGAACAACATACAGGTACTGCAGATAACTTTTTTTGCTTCCAATTCCCGCCATCCCTTGTGTTTACAGATTGTCTCATCTTGGGTTCTTCTTGTTTATTTATTTTGTGGAGGCCGGGGGATAGCTTAACCTGTGCTGAGCTTCGTTTAGGGAGATAAATTTGCGAACCCTAATATCTTTTCCTTATGGCTCTCTATTCCATTCTGCTGACTTTTATTTTGTATCAGTAATCAAAGAAAGAAAAAAATGATGATGTTTTGTGAGGATTAAATGGAATTGAAATACTAGTAGTCATTCCAGTCTGTTCTGAAAACAGAATTTACATGTTATTCAAAGTGGGTGTTTGATTGTTTGGTCCTCACCCTTATTATAGCTGGTGTCAGTTGTGGAGCTAAATTTGTATCCATCTTGTAAACATTATTCGATTTGTATTTTTAAAAAAATTTTGAACTTGACTGAAAGATTCTAGCTTAAGATGTTAGATTTGTGCAAATTAAATTTTTATCAGCAAGTAGGAAGTTACAGGTCCATGGCATTTACAATATGAGTATAGGTAGAGATCATATTAACTTATGATTTTAAGTTATTGTTGGGGAAATTTTAGCAGGTTCCTCTGTATTATGCAATGAATGGGTTTTACTGGACTTCGCTGTTTGTTCTTTGTTGTCTCTTTTCCTGCCCATAAATGAGGAAAATTGAAGGTTTTGAATGTGATGCTGCAAGAGGTATCTTTTTAGCTTTACATTAAGACGTTAATGTGAGGGTGTCAATTGTGTTTTCATTAAGAAATTGTTCTATTTGTATGCTTTCATTTCAGTGTCTGCTATAAATTTGTTTCTAAATTGACTTGGATGACCTTGCAGGGTACTTCTGCCGTAGTAGTATATTTTGATGATGATCATCAGTAACTACTCAGTTCAAAGAACCTATTATGACATTCTTGGTGTGAGGGAAGACGCTAGCTTTGATGAAATTCGCTCAGCTTATAGGTCTTCTGTCCTCAGTTCTCATCCAGATAAACTGTTACAGGAATCTGAACTGCTTAACTCCAGTCATGGTTCTGGGAACAAATTCATAGAGGTACAACAGGCTTGGAAGATCCTCAGCAATCCAAGGGACCGCGGAATGTACGACATTGAACTACAAAAATTGAGAGACCAAGCATTGACTTGTGATGATGTTAGATTAGAGGATTTCTCGATTGAAGAATCAGATGATAGTTTAGAGCTTTCCTACAGTTGCAGGTGTGGAGACTACTTTGTAATTGACTCTTCAGAGTTAATGGAGGTCGGCTATTCATTATCGAAGAAGGGGAGTGAATTCATTTTGCATTCAGTTAAATCTTTGCCAGCCTCTGTAATTCTTCCTTGTGGTTCTTGCTCTCTTAAAATCCTTTTATCGATTGATGTAAATGATAGTCTTCAAATTGATGGCCATTTGTGAGTTTTGATGGCGAAATGGTTACATACATCTGTGAGTTTTGGTCTCGTTGATTGGAGCATTAGTTTTGTAATACTATGCTTCTTTGTCCAAACCTTCAGTATAAACTCGTATTCTTCCATCATGATCCGTTGCTTCATGGAAAATAAACCAATCCTTCCAGTACGAATTTTACCATCCGTTTTGAGCATACATATTACAGGCTTTAAGCAGTTTAATTTCGAGTTCAGACACTGCTCATCCGGGCATCTCAAGACTTCCGCCAAGGTGCAAACATCCTCCTGGAGACCTCAGCATATTCCAAAAGAACATTATTGTCCTTTCTGGACCTCTAAAGAAGTGTCCTAATGGGAAAAGAAAACAAAAACTTTTCGACTTGGTCACTGCTCTGAGAAAACGTTGGGAGAAAAACTCAAGGATGAAACATCAGATAATTGAAGACTAGGAGTTGCTAAATCAACCACATCTCTTTGTCTAAGGTAAGCTACCACTTCTTGCTAAGAAGCCGTAAAGATCTCACCTTTTGGTCAGAAATTCTCAGAATCTTCATGATGGAAGATGCAAATTGAATCGGAGATGGATTCTGGGGAAGAGGGTTGTCATTGGTCTGTCTTCGATGGAATTAAAAAGAGTACTGTACGCTCTGCATCACCAGAGGCACTGATGGCAGAGATAAATTCTGCTATTTCTTCACTCGAATATGCCCATTCGACGGCTTACTTGCAGTCTGTATGTTCTGACCCGAAGGATGATGTCGGTGGAAAATCGACTACTACTTCAAACTATGATGCTAGAATGGCAGATGAAGCTTACAAGTTAGGGTTGGCAGCTATGGCGTCTGGGAAACTTAATGAGGCCATTCAGTCTCTAAATGTTGCTCTTACAAAGTGCCCACCAGATAAGACTTCTGCAATTGCTAAAATTCGGTCTCTTATTTCTCTCACTTCTCAACAGCTGCAGAAGTCCTCCAACTGAGTGATCTCTGTTCTCTACTATGTGTAAAGTTTCTTGCTGTTTGGGGTTCTAGCTCTTTATTGGTTGTTTGATATATAGAGATGCCATTAGCTCCCACTTCTGCAATCTTTTTTTTTTAAGTCACTATGTAACTATGCTATCTTATTTTTGTGGTAATTGTCAAACATCAATAGGGAGCCTAAATATCTTTGCAAGGGAGAGATTTGAGTCCTCGTAATTATCTGTTATCTAAGACTAAGGAGGTCATTTGTATGCTTTGTTGGCGTTGCTTTAGGATTCTACAACTTTCTCCGCAGATTATAGCTTGATTAGGCATGATTTGTTGAATTCACTGAGAGGGATAGGAAACTCATTTGCAACTGGAACACACTGAGATTGCATCTGTCTTGTTGAATCTACTGCATTAGGATAGGCGAGTTGTAAATATTTGTCTTTTGCCTTTACATTGTTTTCGTGACCTTTGATGTTGTAGTAGTCCATAAATTGTTCAGTTTTCGAGTTGGATGCGACTCTTATGACATGATATGAACATAAATGTGTATATTCTAGCTAGTCAGATGACATGGAAGTCATTAGCATTAATCATCATCATTTCTGTTTGGTATCCATTTTCTGATGGGTTTTTAATATGTGGATCTGTTGATGGTATCACGCTAACTGCGTCTAAATAAAGTTGCAACAAGGAACACATCCATTCCACTTATTCGACTTTCAGAGATGAATGTAGAGTTCAACATATGAATATAGAGTATTGATCAGTTAAGAGTAGGAGTTAGTGAAAGCTATGTGCAAAGCATGCTATGTTGGTGGTCCTGCACCTTATTAAAAGTAGGCTAAATGCATATAATAATGAAGTTTCCTGATAAGTTGTTTAAAGAACTTCAATGTGGAAGCATCATTGCCTCCGACTTTTTCACCATGTGTGATTTAAGAAGTTGCCAATAGATTTTCCACCAAATGGCTTTTCTCCCTTTTGAATGCTAACTTTTTGAGTGAAATAATAACATGTACACCATTTCAGATTTAGTAAAGTTGTTCAGTTAGCAGTCATTGTTTGGTACCTCAGTCATTATCATTGGCTATTTAACTTCAATCTGAAGTAAAAACTGATGTTTTACAAACATAACAGCAATTGTGCTGGTTTTAAGAATCAAAAGCTTTTAGATAATGTTCTTCAGAGACCATTTTTTAAACTTCGTTATCTGCTTTTATCTTAACCTTCAAACCAAAGACACAAATATTAGAATTATAGATGGGTTGGGAGGCCGTTGTCACAGAAGCATTTCAACAACTTGGAATCAGACATGCAGATCGGAATCCCTATTTAGTTCTCTATCCTAAATTTCACCAAGAAGTTCCATCCAACTCAGGAGAGATGGCAAATCCATCTAGCAAGAGATGCAAATTCCTGGCATGGGATGCATTTTCCAACTGCCATACTCCCTCTGAAGAATCAGCTGACTCTCCGAAGAGATGCAAGCTTATTGCTTCTAGCCTCAAGGATGCCTTTGCTGACTGCCACACTTTTCGGGCCAGGCTTTCATCTTCTTCTCCGGAAGATAATCATCTCCCGTGCACCGACTTTATGGATGAAGAAGAAGTATTTTGATTCTCACATCCCCTTTTGCCATATTTCACTACACAACCTACATCAGCTTTTGCATAACTTATTGTTGACAAAATTTGCAGGTTTTTATTTCTGAGGTTATAAGTAAGTACATGGAATCCAAAACCAGGTTCACAGTGGAGAGTTTCAGCTGGGCTCTATCTCCAGAAACAAGAGAACTTTTCATTACTCCTAAGCCAGTACAGCAAAAAAGCAATGAGATTGAAGACCTTTCAATGCAGCAAAAAAGCAACGAGATTGAAACCATAGACGATGATTTCCTTTCAGCTCGAAGTCAGCTTTCTCGCTGCTCCAGCGTCACAAGCATCGGACCCTTCTCATCCGCCAGGACGGCATTTTCCCGCAGCTCAAGCTTGAGCAGGATCGACTTCCAAGATGTGCAGAGGCGGCGTTTGATGATGCAGGAACTAAGCCATTGTCAGGGGTGGCCATTCGGGCTCTGCAAGAAAGCTCTGTTGCTTCCTCCCTTGCCAAAATCCCCTGCTGATTCTTGGCTATGGCGTAAACCTTCTAGAGTCATCAGAACTCGGTGACTTTGAGAGAGTTTTTTAGGTTGAAGATTTGACCCTATCCTCCTCCCCTGCTTAAGGGAGTTGCAAATTGCAAGTGTGTGTTTTTGAAAGAGAATAAAAAACTTCCGTACTTGTAAAAATCCAAACTTCCAATTATGATACAAAAATTCGCCCAAAATCGGGATTTTTGTCTGACAATTTGTTCATTTGAAACATATTTATCGAGAATCAAATTTCACTGTAAACTGCTTATGTTTTATGACGATAACACAAGAGAGGTAAAGGACTTTATTGGATCAAAAGAAAATGATCAAATTGTGGTTGATGCAAAAAGTATCACTAGCTTGATCATTGTAAGATTGTATAAAAAATAATAATAATAAAAATAAAATAAAAATACTGATACAAACTCAACCTGTCAACCAACTGGAATCAATTTTCAAATGACAATTTTGCCCCCGAAAACCCGCGCTTGATAAAAATCAAAGTCAAAATCCCATCAGGAAAACGAAACAAATTGGGACGAAAATCACTGGAAAAAGAACCGAACTTTTGCATAATGAGCATAGCCACCGCCGCTGCAATTTCGACCACCATCCCAATTACCTCTTCCGCCGCCGCTCTCCGCCTTCTTTCTTCTTCCTCCTCCTCTTATTCCGCTCACTCCAAACCCCTTATCCCATTGTATTATTCTTGGACAAGGAGCAATTGGACGAGTTCTAGCTTCACCTCATCGAGAATAAGAATGGTTGATGTTAGCAATCAAAGTAACAACCCCACGCCGTCGGCACCTGAGGCCCCGCCAGACAAGCCAAAACCGAAGCCTCAACCGTGGCTGATTGTTGGGCTTGGTAACCCCGGGAAGCTCTACAGCAGGACGAGACATAATGTGAGTAATAAACCCCATATTCTCTGTTTGCGTATTTGTCTGTGTGGGATACTGGAAGCATTTGTGTGATTTTTCGTTTTCATTTTTCTTTTGGGTTAGGTTGGTTTTGAGATGTTGGATTATATAGCTGAAGCAGAAGGGATATCAATGAGCAGTGTTAACTTCAAGGCTTGTTTTGGAAAAGGTATAGTTTGGTTTGTTAGAAAATTTTGGATGCTGTCTTTATTGATATGCAGTGGGCATTTTATCCATTCATTGATGTTGAGAGAGCAATGATTTAGAAGCAATTAAATTGTTCGTTTGGAGTTGTATAGTTGGAAGTGCATGTGTGGGAAGATTATGGAAAAGATGCTCAATTTATGTTCTGTTAAGATATATTTGCTTAGATGCTGAAGTTGCATTGGTTCTTCTCCCCTCATTGTCAGGTCAAATAGGGGATGTGCCTGTTATGTTTGCTAAACCACAGACTTTTATGAATGCAAGTGGTGAGTCTGTAAGTTTTCTTAGCTTGGCTTACCTTTTCTCAATTATGTGATAGTGGTGGTTTGTATGTTTGAACGGTTTAATGTTTCTTCTGCTTCTTTTTTTCTTCTAGGTCGGAGCTATTGTTTCATATTACAAGATCCCTTTGAAGCAAGTCTTAGTGGTAAGTTATTGATACATTAATGGAGACCCATCATTATTTCTCTTTTGCTGCTGAAACCCCTTAAATGTGAACCTCTTTTGCAGATTTTTGATGATATGGACCTTCCTTTTGCCAAGTTGCGAATGTTGCCAAAGGGTGGACACGGAGGCCATAATGGGTATGTACAATGTCCTGGACTTTTGATGCATGTGTGGCAAAGCTTCTTATTGTTGCTAATATCAACTATTTTATCTTTTTCTACCTGTCGACATTTGACTTTGCTTAGCAATGAAATTTCTGTCTTTCTTTTCTCTTTTCTTTTGTGGGGGCAGGGGGTAAGATAGATATCACTCTCCTAGTTTAGTGCTCATATGGTTATGAGATGGGATGATCAAAGGGAATAGATTTTGGTCTTGTTGTCCATCGTTTTGTGTTTTCGGTGCAATTATAGTTTTGTTTCTTTTTAATTTTCATGTCCTCATCTTTCTTGGGAGCAGCATTAGAGATAGTTCTGATCGCAATCTATCTTTTGTTATAAAAAGTTACTATCCCCATCTGCACTTTCAGAGATAATGTTGACGAATTTGGAGGATAATGGTAATGCTACCACATTACCATCTAAATCGATGCAAAGTGTGTGGTGTGGTTGGTTTGGAGGAGTTCTTTGATATGCTCTCTTACTGATACGCGTTTGTATGAACTATGGACTGAGCTAGACCATCAGCATTGTTGTATTTTTTTAATTGTTGGAGAACTTTTTTGAACCAAAGAAGGATATTTGCACTAAAGAAAATGTCCTCTTGCAGGATGAAGAGTATTATTAATCACTTCAAAGGTAGCAAGGACTTTCCTCGTTTGCGGATTGGTAACTTCCTTAAGCTTTCTTCTTCTTCTCTTCTGTTTCTTCTTTTTTCTTTTATTTGGGCAGATATTCTCTAGTGATGTGTGTTAAAATGCAATCTAATGATATACTCACAGGCATTGGTCGACCCCCCGGAAAAATGAATCCTGCGAGTTATGTTTTGCGGAGATTCGACAAACAAGAAAGTGGAGAGGTAATTTATTAACCAATTATAGCTGCTGATGAAAAGCTAGTCTAGACTTTCTGCAAAACAAAGATGTTGAAACTTGGCTCTTTCTCTTTCCCAGTTAGATTTTACTTTCCAGACTGGCTTGGAAGCTGTGAGACTTCTTTTGCTTGAAGGATTCAACAAAAGTGCTACTTTTGTTAATACTTCTAAGTCGTTGGAGCAATTGCAATGACAAGACTATGAGGCTAATTTACAAGTTTGAAAGCATGGAGTATACCGACCTCTGAGGATCACAATTTGACAAAAATGAGTTGGGCAGCGCAGAAGCAATTCTTTTGTCCTATATGGTGTTGCTCATTTTCTCAATGCAGAGGCTAATTTATACCTGTTAGCTGTTACTGCTACCATGGACATAAAATTTTGATCTCATGGATGGATTCTTCTATGTAACTGATACAGTAGAGTAGGATAATGCCATTGATGAAGGCATCGTCACCACTTCACTGATGCACTCAAAATTTAAGACCATATCGATTATCAATGTTTGTTATTGTTTGAGCGGCTCAAGATATGAATTTTATGATAGACAAAACATGATATTCATGTAGTATGTTTTGAGAAAGTATTGATAAAAACATGATATTCATAAAACAGGACCATATCGCTGCTGAGTCATTTTTGTAAAGGGTAAAAAGAATGTCGGAGAATCTTTTTTTTTTTTTTTTTTGCTCTATTCAAATACATGAAATTGCGAAAAAGATTTCTGTAGAGAGACCATCTAATTATCTCTTAGCTCAGATGACAATAAGTAAGCAGTCATTGATTTAGACGCAAGGGGGTTAAGTAGAGCCAGGAATCGAAGAAAGCAGGGGCAAAGTTTTATAAAATAACTTTAGCTCGGGCAAAAATAAAAATAAAAAAAATTACAAAAATTATAGCTAAAATTTTTCAAGAATTCTGTAATTTCCTTTAAAAAAAATTGGAGGGAGGGGGAGCGACCGCCCCTACTGGTGCCCCCTCCCTCCGCCACCGATCAACTCTAAGCACGCTGCCCATGAATAGTACCGTCCCACTTGTATCTTCCGCTATGAGAAAAAGGAATGGATGATCGGCAACAAAGTTTAGTCTCTTCTTAGTCTTAGGAGTTGTTGAACAAGTAGCCTTGGAATCAGCAATTTCGGCAGTGGTTTCTGTTCCATATTGGGCAGCATCAGTGAAGGATTCGGCCTCCGATCCATCTTCGGTGACATCAATGTAGGATTCCTGGAAAATGTTGTGCCCTCCAGTAGAAGGGAAAACCGTGCCTGAACTTTCAAACCCGAATGAGATCTTGAACTTGGGAATCAGGAAGTCCCCAACTTCAACTTTTGTACTCGGGGAATAATGCTTCACGAATCCAGGTCTCGAACTAATATTTTCCACCAAATCCAGCAGTCCGTTCTTGGCATTTGGAAGATACAAGTACATGGAAAAACACCGGCGGCCGTTTTTGTAAGGAAGTCGCAACACTTTGAAACCTTTATATGCACTGATATGTCGATTTTTGTCGCTAGTGAAAAAAGCAGCTTTCACTGTATTTCCATCCAGAAGATGAAACTTGCGCTCCTTTCTCTTCGATGCATCAAACTTTTCTTCCCAAGCTCCTTTGAAATATAGTGCATTTGCAAGCAACATGGAAAGGTTGTCAACCGCGCCAGGCTGAAGAATAGCTTGGATTAGGCCATTTGTTTCTTTTACAGCCCAATCATTCACCTCATCGATGACCTCGTCCGGCTTGTTTCGGAAATCAACTTCATTAGGATGAGCCTTATAAAAAAGGGACAACGCATTCTTGTAGTTAAGATCGAATCGGGTAGAACCATCAATCCAAACTCCATTCGAAGACGACACGCGAGGGCCGCCAGAAAGGCTACCGTCGGCCAGTACAGAAGTGACTAATAAAGAACCTAAAGAGTTGAGCTCCTCAATGGAGTTAGACCTGAGGAAAGAAAGAAGCCGGGCTTGAGTTTGGCCTTTTGCTCCGGCTGCAATCATGCTCAATACAATGTGGAGGGACGACGGCGAGAATACAAAATTTGCATTGTTTTTCGCCCTCGCTAAGATGATCGGCTTTGCTAATGTTAGTAAGACGTCATTGTGGTTGTGATTTGAAAAACCTTGGCCGTCAAGTGACTGCTTGCGGGAGAGATTTGGAAGAAAGCACCACTTCATTCTTCCAACTGAAGCTGTTTTGTTTTTTCTTTTTTTCTCCAATCTGATGTGTTTTTCTTCGTGTGATATTCTACCAACCATCAACAATCTCTATTTATAGATATTTAGAATAACTCACCCAATTACCATCGGTAATAGGAAATGGACCAAATTTCTATTACATGGCTGAAAAGGATTATTTTCTTTCAAAAAGGGGGAAAAAATAAAAAGAAGAAGAGAGAAGAATCACCTTATTTTACGCAAATCACATTAGGAGTTGAAATCGTAATGTAATGGTATTCGGATCGAAGAGCGGAATGGTTAAAAATCAAAACCCATCGCTGAGAATCACTACAACATCCAAAACTACCGCAATATGCTAAAAAACAGTGGGGAGATTTTTGTCCCATCTATGTTTTATTTGAAAATTTGTGTAACTTGATCAACACGATTTGTATATAGGATTTCTTTTTTTGTGTTTTCTATTTAGTATTACAACTTTACTGCGCTAGCAGCAGTAGTTCGAAGTTCGAACTCCTCCAAAACCTAAAATTTTAACCACTTCCCATTGAATAGAAAGGAGTGTGTGAACTTCAATATTAGCAATTTAGCATCATGGTAATAGTAAAACTTCTTTAAAATATGAATTGGTATTTACATCACACAACCACAACTTGCCCGAACTTAGCCCAATATTCTGCGTTCTTCTGTTTAGCGCTTCTGTTTATGAATGTGAAGAACCCCTAGGGCCTATAATGCGTGCGGAAGATTCAGCGTTTTATCTCCGACCAAGAATTCCTCAGGCCCATTGCTGCATAAATCAAGAAGATATAGTTCATTGAACCACAATGTAAGAGGTTGATGGAAGAATGATATTCAAACAGTGTCCTTGGGAGAAGAATTACCTCATGTGACTTAGGGCAGACATCCTGTACAGACAAGTAAACACTAATACATGCAACCCGATCGTATAGAAGAATGCAAATGTTCGAGCATATCTGCAAGAAATTCAATTGAAAATCCATTCAGCATACCATTAATGACAAAAAGATTTATTGCTAAGGAGATACAAGTATAATAGCATTCCCATCTAGCAACTTAAAGATCAATCAAGTGAAAGGAACTAACGTTGCATACAGAAGAAAATTCATTGGACAATGGATGAGCTTTTTATGTGTATTAAGAGAAACCAGGAAAAACTTACTTGTTACCAAGAAGGAACCGTCCACTGCTAAGAGTGATTTTATCTCTTAAACCAAGCTCCTTGTACCTCTGATCTCTTTCCTGTTCATGGTTTTACAGACAAAGAGATTTAAGGAAAAGAAAGTTAAATCAGATGATTAGTTTATGACAAACAAAACAAGTTAAAAGAGTAAGAGAAAGAGAAGATTACTTTCAGATCAGAGATTCAATAAGAAGTTACACAGTTTTCTATTCAAAAGAGACACGGTTGAATGATTTGAAAAAGTACTCGTGAGAATTACAACAGGCCTCATAAACAGATTATACGAGAAGGATGGGCACGTCAACAAGAGCTGAAAAGGCAAATTCTCATAGGAAACAAAGATAGGAAGCTACAAAGTTCCATGACTTTACCAAGGAAAATGAAACTAATTTGAGAAAGATCTATCCAAATATGACCACAAACTAAGTAGCTAAACGTTGGAATAGAACTGAGGTTGATAGAAGTCAAATCACCTTTTTTGAGAATGCTGCAAAAGGATTTATGTCATCTTCATATATTTTCTTATACTTGGATTCCACATCAGAGCCAAAACCACTTTCTATATCTTCAGCGTACTGCATAAACAAAGCCACTTTTTACATATTTAAACAGACAATTCTAACAGAAAGAAAAGTAAAGATTCAGAGGAATTGCAATAAAAGGCACCTTCTTTGATCCTCGGGAGATTACTTTTTCAGAATTGTAGTCCTGAATGTAACGAATTTTCCCATAAAGTTTCACGTTATCTGCTTTTGTTCTCTCAAGTTCAGTATTTAGCATCCCTATCTTCTCTTTCAGCTGTCTTAATTCCTACAGAAGAAAAGTAGAGGCATATAATTTAAGTACCTTGTGAAATAAAATGCAAGCCAATCAGCAAAAATTATTCTAGCTACCTCTTCAGTCTCTCTCAACCGTGCCCGGAAACGGTCTCGTTGGTTGCAGATCACCTTCAGCATTGAGCTTTGATCTTGATCCGATGGAACATTTCTCTGCTCAATATTCTGTTTCAAGACAAAGTAGAATAGTAAATGATCTTATTTAGCTGATTGTAAGCAGATCAAGCTGCAGTTTCTATGGGTGTCAGGCTAGTAACTTTATTACGACGAGTCCTTCCAAATATTTTTCTACTTATTCGTGCTTATACACAATTTATCCATTAATTGTGTACAATTGAGAAGATAGGAATGCAAGTTTCATGCAGAAAGCTTTTAGATCTTGTAAGGAAAGGGAAATAAAAGGGAGTGGGAGGGAGGACAAAAGTTAAATTACATTCCCCACATCTACATCCCCAATTCATTTCACTTCATATGCATACTCTCTATTGTGTGTAGAGATACAAGACTATACTGAATCCCCAATTTCTTCAAAGAAGATTCTCTGATAGAATATAATGAGAAGGATAAAATAGAAGTGAAACTTACTTTAGATGGATCTGTTCCACCAGATTCTGATAAATCCCAATCCTCAAATAATGTGCTCTTTTTGTTGTCCTTGGAGCTATAACCCTGCAATGCATATAAGAAAAAAGATTAAAATCACAATATGGAATGACAGAAGGTGTGCGAAAACGAGGTGCTATTAATCCTCAAATAGGGTTATTATATACTCCCTCTGTCCCAAAATTAATTGCATTTTCATTTTTAGTTCAAAGTGTACTAAAAACGAGAATCCAAAATGGATAATAATTTTGGGACAGAGGGAGTACATTGAAAAAGGATATCCCGATAAATGAGGTTCCGCTCATAATACAGTAAACACTTGAGAACCGTATTCTTCACAGGCAGTCAGGAGTCAATTCTTTAGTAAAAATTGATATAACCTTTAATATATCGTCCTCTAGCTTCTGTATCAATTTTTGTTGCTCATCGACCTTTGCAGTTAACTCTCCGATTTTGGCTTCAGCTGCCTCCACCAATGATTTCTTTTCAGAAAGCTTGACCTGAGAATTAAATTCAAATTATTAGAACTTGCAACCATCAGAACCTTACCATGTATTACCAGCAAACTTGGTCATTGTCTAGTGCATTTGAAATAAATGGAAATATTTGTAGATGGAAATGAGAATTAAAAATGTAAAGTGACCATCGAGATTATGTAAACATGCACCCTCTTTAGGGATTCATACCTTGAGTTGAGTGAGTTCATGCTCCATTTTCCTGTTCTTATCAAGAAGAAGTGATTCAAGTTTACTCATCTCTTCTCCAGTGGTAGCTACTTCCCAATCTTCAGCCTCAATTGAATTATAACCCACTGCCTACAATTTGACAACAAAAAAAGGGGGTAAGATATATAATATCTTGATCATATCTCAGAAGCCAACTGAAAGAAGGAAAAGCATTCAATTTCTCAGTTTCTTTCTCTGACAAATACAAGGAGAAAGAAATGCACGTGTGCTTATGCATTATTTGCATGAGCGTATGTTATTAACGAGAACGTAGTAAGAGCACCTAATGACATGAACTTCAAAAAAGATGCAAAACTTCCTTTTTAAAAATTTTGAGGAGACAAGAAAGGAAGAAGGAGCATAATGAACTCATCAATGACAAGGACACCTCATTCTTCATAGAAATAGATCTAAGAGCAAGGTTCTGTTTGTAAAAGCATGAAAGAAGAAAAGGAATTCCAAACAGAGGACATGAAAGCTCAATGCTACATCAGTTTCCATAGTACTTCCCACTTCCTTTTTCCTGCCTTTTACTTCTAGAGATAAATAATAATTAAGAACCTTCTAATATAAATAAACTCAACTGGTATCAACAGAGTGGGGTTCCTACCTGCAAAATTTTGATCTTCTTATGCAAGTCCTCGACCAATTTTGCTGTTGGCCTCATCTGAAGCTCCCTTTTCATCTCCTCAATATTAGTTTCCTACGGCCCACGAACCAGTATCACGTGAAACCAAAAAGTCAAATGAAAATATAACTACAAATAACACCATTCATCAAAATGATTCAATTGACACTAAAATATTGCGATAAACATTGTCTTTTAAGGAGGTATGAATCTCCACTATCAACTGTAGCACATGTTAAGTTGATGAAATCGCTCCGATTTCCTATCCAGAAAAGATGTTAAGAGGACTTCACAAAGCAATTACCTCAATTAACTAAATTTGAGATGTATGAATAAAGCTTGGTCAACGTTTATGTGAAAGGTTACATAAGGGTGTGAGAAGCAATTATAAGCACAATTACTAGGATGCCATTGTATCTGACTAAACTTTCAATAAATGGGACGAATGGAAAACCTCCCTTGGAGAGAGAGGTGAGATTATGGACAGAAAAACATACTTTCTCATTAAGCATAGCATTCAAACGCTTCATCTCGTTGATGTGCTGTTCTCTCTCATTTGATAAGGTGGTCTCAATACTATGAAGCTCCATGTTTAACTCAGAAATAATCTTTTCTTTGGCACTAAGGGAATTCTCAAGCATGCTATTGGTGTCGACATTATCACTGCAGAAGAACCAAAAGAAAATTATGTTAGATAACTTAATTCCATGACCTTGTAATTGTATCAATACGATCAAAAACAGACAAGTTGTACTGAAAGAGGTAGGCACTCATTTGGGTGGTTTCATTTTTCAACATAGATGTCATCCCAATAATGAACAAAACCTCATCAGTTAAAATTTGCAAGTTGTATAACAACACATAACACTATCACCAGAGAAGATATGTCTTGAAACCAGAAAATCTATGCAAGCCTTTCTTAAAGAACATCTTCTATAACAGACAGCTGCATGTTTTGTTTTCGTCAAATAATTATTAGAAAACCACATTTTTGTACACAATATTTTACTACATTATTTCCCTTTTGTGAGCTAATCAATATCTTTTAAAATCATACCTTATATCTTTTGCATTTCCAGAAAATAAAAAAGATACGCAACTAGTGGAATACGAAATTCATAAAAGAATCGGTGGACTGAACTTCATGTCATACTTCATAAGAATTATAAAAAGAAAGAGTTATCGTACAAAAGAGACGAGATCGAGAAAAGACAAAACAAAGTTTCTTTACTTAATCTTAGATTCCATAAGTTAATATTAGTGAGTCATCCATGAGAAGTTCGAGAAATAGAAGAAAATTTACCTTTTCTTTTGGTCATTGTCTTCATTAGCTGTTTGCAACTGAGAACGCAACAATCCCTACAAGGACAAAAAGGAAAGAAAATGTAAGAAAACATTGATAATGTATCAAAAACAATATCTGCAGTAGAAACAATGGAATTGATGACATGAGAGCAAAGATGCAAACATAATTTGGTGACCCAAGAGGAGCCAGCCTCTTTCAAGAAATCAAGGCAAATAATCAGAGCACCAAAAATGATCAATAGTTTTTGGAGGAACACAAATTGTCAACTGCTCCCATACTTTTCTCAATTTGGGTTTTGTTAAACATTTCTGTCTAACAACGATACAGAAAAACCTGAAGCCGATTCACTTAATATTCCATTTCTTTGTTCACGCCTATCCTAGTCACTCATTCAAGAAGCAGGATTTTCTATAGATGTTCCCAATTAAATAACGGGGAGGAAGTTAATTCAATTGAAACCATACACCTGTGTCCTCACCACTATTAGCCACAAGTAGTAAAGTACTAAAAAAGAAAGAAGAAGCCACCAAATGCAAACATCTCAATTGCAAATGTGACATAACATAATGAATACTATCAAGCTGTTTAGCATTTACATAACAGACAAAGGATCCTACTGCAAACCTTTTCTCTTTCAAGACTAAAAAGCCGAGATTGTGCACGCTCAATTTCATCCATCAAGAGATTGACTTCTGATTGCTTTGCTGCTCTATCTTCCTCTGAAAATGCCATTTGTTAAGAATACACAAAATATATTGTAAATTGCCAAAAACAGGCTCAAAAAAATCAGCTTTTCATCAGTCATGTTCTAGTACTCACAATTACAAACAGGCTACTACATACCTGATTGTGCACGGACTTCAAACAACTGGCTCTGTGCTAGTTCATGTAATTTTTGCATAGTAGAAACACTGTCCTGTGCCTGACGTAACTGATCTTGCAACATCCGTTCTCTGCATAAATTTCACCATTACATTCAAAGAATTGCATGATAAATGAATGCCCAAACATGAATTACAAGATCAGTGTTCCACAGATTTCTTATGATATCAGGCTAATACCTTTCCTTCAAAACCTCCAAACTTTTTTGATTCTCTTCTGCCAAACTACGTTGCTTGATCTCCACAATTTCTTTTACTTTTTCTTCCATCTATAAGATGCAAAGGGAAAACACAATTTTACACCATAATGCAATCAGAGGACATAAGAAAAATTCAACTATCCGAGAAAGTGATATAAAACAAGATAATTAACCTGTTGTTCTAACTGGCGAGTTCTCTCTTCAAGTCTTCTTATAGTGGCCTGTTGATTTTTCAGATGAGTTGCCTCTGTTCGGAACTCCTCAAGCTCAACCTTCATCTTTCGGTTCTCGGACTCTAATTCAGAAAGTTTCAAGTCTTTCTCCTGCCGAATGTTGAAACAGTCAACAAACCCGTAGAAGACGGTGCTTTGTGCATGCTACTCTCGGAACTTACCAGTTCATGCATGTACAACAACAACAACAACAACAACAACAACAAGTCTTTTCCCACTATGTGAGGTCGGCTACCATATGTAGCATAATATAGCTAAGTTATTCCTTGAAATAGAACAAACTCCTACTACGTCCACCGGGTAACTACAAAGAGCATGATAATACCTGCCATGTACCCAGAAATTCTATATGTATGCAAAAAACATTATACTTGGGCCAGGAGGTAACCAATCCCAAATTGCCAAAATTCACCAAATCATTTAACTTATAACTCAGATCTTGATTGCAAGTGGTTTCTAAAGATACTAAACCTCCAAAAAAGAACTTTTAATTCGAAATTCAGGAAAAGCTTTCTTTCAGAGTATTGGATCCTTGTATAACTGTGTTTTTAATTCCATTTCCGTTAAGTGCTAATTGGAAAGGAAGACTAAATTCAAACTATCTTCTAACTACCTTGAACAGCTCATTTCTTGCTTATAGTCTTGTGAAGCAAAACACTATCATTATCCAAAACATAATCAGAACACTGATCACAGTCTCATCAGTTACAATAGAACTACTTTCCTTAAAAGACGAATTCATGTTTGACCATTTTACTTTCCTTCTGCATCTTAAAAGATATTCAAGAGGTATAACCCCCGCTGAAAGCCTGAAATTTAAAGAACAGCTGATTTCCACCTAGGAAAGCATTAACAAGTTTCAAGATGACAAACATTACAAGACAATTAAGAAAAAGCTGGTACTTACTGCTATTGAGGCAAGAACCGGGTAAGGATCTGGTGCTTCATAAATCTTCTGATAAATGGTAAGAAAAGAATTTTCTCCAAACTTAGCTCTCTTTGTGAGATTATCAACTTCTTCTTGATAACCCTTTAGTAAAGAGTTAAATAGACTCAGCTTCTCTTCATTTGAAGCTTTCTTGAAATCTGTTAGCAACAAATTGATATTCCAAAAATCAAATAATAACAAAAGGGCACATCCAACCCATATGCATTGACTATCAGCATTATAAAAAAAAAAAAACCTAGAAAATAAATATACTCTCTCCAACTAAGCGAAATTAGACCTAAGGAACATTTGTGATCAGTCTAGCATGGTACCTCTAGTACTCTCAGCAAGCTTTCGACGATTTTTCTGACTGTTCTCTTGATTTTCAGCAATCCGAAGCCCTTGCTCATCGAGAAGAGCTCTTTCCTTTTCAAGATCGAAATCTGCAAAATGGAAAGATTCATAAGCAAACCAAATTGAGAAATCCGGACAATCAACAAAAAAGCAAAAGAAACTCTTCACTTGATGTTGTGAGTTACGACCCCCTCATTCTATTAGAGTTCATATGTTTATACAAGTTGGAAACTTCTGTTAAGGTCTATGTAGCTGTAGACAAACACTAGCCATTGCACTTAAAGAAAAAAAGGCATCTCTGATACTTCTTTGACACGCTATCACATCACAAATCTATCAAAGTGAGCTAATATTGGCATCTGCTCTTCAACCCAAAAGCTATTAAGAGTGGAACCAATCTCTTCCTTATTACATAATAATAGTAAACGCCCTATTCCTCATCACAAACACACATACACAGATAAAATGAACTCTGAACTCCATACATTAGTGAGTAATTCAAAGGAACCAACAAAAGCAACTCATTGATCACTACCAGTAGTTAGCATCCTTTTGACCTCATGCTCACACTTAGTAGGTGGTTTACATCAGAAGCCTAAATGGCTCAAACACTTAAGGAAATTCCCTAAAGAACCCCAGTGTATGAGCCTGCATCCTTATTTCTCATACTTGCTTGCTCATTTGATTCCCCCATTTTACTTAACAAACCCTTCTTCCCTCTTCAACAAGAAAACAGAACTTACAGTATCAACAACAAAGGAAAGCAATCATTCACAAATACTTTCCTGGTTACAGATGAATCAAATGAAAAACTTAAACGAAGGACAGATTCAAATAACAACTAATAACCACATTTCTCAACACCACCAGTGATATAAAAGAACATCACAACTCGCAAGATTCAATAACAAAAATTACCAAAGAAATTAAACGGTAGAGAGATTGAGGATTAGGACTGAAACAAGAGCATTACCTTTCCAGTAGCTAGCGACAGCAGAAACCGGAGCCGATGAACCGGAGTTCGATTTCTCTCGTTCCGATCCTCCTTGGGCGACCTCCATCGTTGATCGTCCTCAAACCTAAATCCTGCGTTCCAATTACTACGCCGATGATAATTTATACAAACACTCAACAATGATTACAGAGATGAAACTTCATTCATCAGAGAGTGGACAATGCCAATGAACAATCAGAGTATTGAATTGAAAAAACAGTTGATGAATTTGTTGAAGAACAGCCAAAAAACCAGTGTCTACTTCATCAAGTGTGAGCCTCTGTGTGGGAAATAATTATTCAGAAATAGAAAAGGTTGTCGATTTTGTTTAGGAATTCCAGATGAAAGAAAGATTAACTTAAATCAGAAAAACGAAGAACGTGAGAAGTTCGGATTACAGTTTGAGATCTCAGTGAGTTTCTTGAATCAGATAATGACGTATAAGAGTTTAGCTTAAGTTGCAAACTTAGCCCGGGAGGATTTCGGACCTCCGTTTGTGGGTTATAAAGCCCAAACCCAAAACCGGCACTTTTTTTTAAACTACTCTACTTATTTTGCTTCTCCATTTTTTTCAGTTTTCCTTCGTTTTTTTTCCCCCCTCTTTTTCCTGATAATTAGGAAGAAATTGCTCTATATGCGTTAAGCAAAAAGAAAAAATTTTTAATAATATTAATAATAAAGTATATATTCTTACACTACTAAAAAGTAATACATCAAAAATATTTCAACGAAAAAAAAAAGAGCAATCACCTTTTTTTGGAAAAAAAAAAAGGAAAAGCAATGCAATGTTATCAGTCAAATGTAATCCCTCCGTCCCATAATTATTGTCCAGTTTGAAATTTCACTTTTAGTTCAAATTGTACTAAAAGTGAAATCTCAAATTGGACAATAATTTTGGGACAGAGGAAGTATTATTTTTCTTCAAAAAAGTCAAATTGTACTCTGATATTTTTTTGGATTAAATGCTTATATAGTTTGCCAATGTTGGTCAATTTGTATGTTCCTTCTATAGTTTTATTCTTCGCCAATATTCTTTATGTTGTTTTAAAAAAAAATATAATAAATAACACTACAAATATACGAATTATTATTATTATTATTATTATTATTATTATTATTATTATTATTATTATGAAGGAGGCAAATGCCTAAAGAACTACACAAGTACATTCTGTTAGTACGAAACACTAACAATATCATGATTCAAGTCCAAACATGGTTTTAACCCCCATAGGTGGTTCATTAACCCATGAAAAGCCTCCCGGACTAGTCGCCGCCAGATTGGTAAGTGAATAAGCTGCGAAATTCGGCCCTCGTCGCTCAGAAGGAAATCAACATGTCGAACAAATCAAATAAGCAACAACAATATCGAACGAAAACTATTTGTCACCAACATTGTTTGCGTGAAAATTGTGCACCCGAAACCGTGAAAAAAAAGGGAAACAAGACTCACCCAAAACACAATTAAGTCAGACGATTTTGGTTGAGTTCGAACCGGCCTCTGACCAGGATCGAGCACTTAGGGTTATTGGCTTTAGTTTGAGAAAGACAAGTAGAGATTTAGAGAAAGTGTGGAAAAGCTGAATAAACGGCGTTTGACTCATAAAGTAGAAAACCCAAGCGCCGGCAAGCTATAGACGGAGCCGATGACACACTATTACATAGAAGACAGAGATAGGACGGACGTGCAGAGGGTAGTCCGACATACATAAGTGTTAGAACACCTATTACAACATAACCGAATTCGTTGGAGTAGAAAACGGTGAACACCTACATAATTCTATGTAGGAGAAAAAGGCAAACAACTCTATTGCTAAGCTAAGGGCTAAGCAAGCATGATAGAACGTGATGAACCACTATAGAGAAGGTAAAAACATGATAAACTCTAAAAGAAATAATAAAAAACAAGGAAAACTAGTTGTAAGGTTGATCGGTGATAATTTTCTCTTCATGGCTGCCTCTATTTATAGTGCTTAGACAAAACTTTTCTGCCCTATGATTCCTTGGAGAAAAAGGTAGCTTAACATGGTCAATTTCCCACAGCAACCTCCCAATCGGTTGATGACTCTTCTCACAATCAGCTCTTAATTTGGCAATAGAATTCTTTTCCAAACATATCTCCTTTAATTACTAATAATTTCCCTTATAAAAAAAGAGCAAGAAATAAGAAAAAATCTTCCTTAATTGCCAATTAATCACGCAGCCGACTCTGGAACAATTATATTCCCACTTAACTTATACTTTCCTACTCCAATTCTGAAATTGTTGACACTCAACCAGCTCATATTGATCCCAAACGTATTTTAGCCATTTTTGGGCTATTATAGGGCCTTAAAACCCCAGGCATAATCATATAAGTCCACCAAAACTCCTGGGCCAAGACTCACATCTATCGTCGGTCCGAATAGCAAAAAACTGACCAAACATAATGCCCCCCCGAACGTTCATATTAAATATGACTTTGATATGAACGTTGATAAGCACATCTCTACCACTAACCATACGCATTCCATGCTGCACTTAGATCCACATAACACCATCCCACCGGATACATAATGTAATATGGTACACACGCATAATATGAATAATACGGATTAAAGATTGGTGCACGCTTACTTTTTTGCAACGGCTGAGACTTCCCCTTAAAGCAACTATCGGTTCTGGAACTGGACTTGAACTCTTGTGATCTTTGTCTTCGCGGATAGCTTCTACGATTCTTATGTTCTTGAGACATGTTAATACTGAGGCCAAATTTTGGACTGAACCGACCATTTGAAATAGGAGAACTAGAAGTACTGCTGATTTTTCGCTTCCCAACATTTTGGACTTTAGAACCAGAAATGACATCTTTGCTCTTGACCTCCTTTGTAACTGTTGACAAGGACTGACCTTGAGAACTCATTACAGAAGTAACCATCTTGTTATGCGGAACCTGAAGCTGGCTGCCAAATCGTTTAAGAACTGGATTTTCCATGGTAGCACTACTGACTATATCCGAATCATTCTCCTTACTGTCTTTCTTGCCTTGACCATGAAAAATCAATGGAAAAGTAATTGGCTGGTCGCATCTTACCTCAAGCTGACTGCCGAACCGTATGAAAACTGAGTTGGAGATGGCAGGACCACAAACTGCATCAGAACCAACCTGCTTGCGGCTCTCTTCTTTGTTAGTTTCCGATTTCACATTGGCTTCACTTAATGCTGTGTAAACCAGGTGCCTACCATCTTTGTTTGGTTCCTGAAAGGCTACTACTGAAACGAATTTATTTCGTGAATATCATCTTTCTTTGCTTGAACTTCTAAATTGTTTCTAGGCTCATTTTTGCTTCAAGAGTTTCTCCGATTCGATCTGACCTTCCGTCAAGCCATTTAGATCCATCGGAACGACCATGAAAATCGTTGCTGAAATCTTCATAAAGTTGATTTCTTGGTCAACTTCATGGTGTTTCCCTAATTTTTTTTTTCCCAGAATTTTTTCGATTCTTGTCGGCTACATTGAGCTCATCGCCGATCATGTTCTGCCTGTGATCTGACTAATCTGTCAACGGTTTCTTGCAATTTTTTCAATGGGTCTTCTATGGAATTTCTAGTGGCAGTAGAAAGAGTTTCCAAACCTGGAGCACATGAACGTTCATCTTCCAGTCGTTTATGACCTTTATTGGGGTGAGGTCCTTAATCCAATCAAATTTTTGAGCTATCCGGATGAATAGAAGGAGCAACTTTTGTAGTAGAATATAATTCTTTTGGTTTCGGCAGCAGTGGGTGTGGAAGAACTTCTACCCCAATCCACCTTTTATAAAGCTCCAAGTAGGTTGATACAACATATTGAGATAACAGTGAGAAATTCAAATCATATTTGAAACAGAAAATTAAGATCATGAGAAGATTTTTGTGCGGTGGTTTTGAGTTTTTATTGAGGAAATCGGGAATATAGGGCTCTTCGAGTTGGATAAGTTCATATTTAACCAAAATACAGAACAAAAATAGGGTTACAAGATGAAGATTTTATGGTTTGAAATTGAAAATTCTTTCAACCAAATCGGAATATTAAGATTGAGGAAGATTTAAGATAGGCAGAAGATTTTGAGCGGTGGTTTGAGTTTCCATTGAGGAGCTGTTTTGATTGAGTTTTGAGCGGAACTATTTTTGTCGGATGAGTTACAATTTAGGTAAAACACTAAACAAACATACCAGCTGAGTTTATTAACCGAAGATAAAGATGTTTTTTTTTCCTTTTTAATAAATAAAAAATGAAAAAAATTGCTAGTCCTATGTGACAAGTAAAAAACTATCTCAGTTTTCTCTCTTCAAGTTTTCTATTATTAAGTTATATAGATAGATAAGCGAAAATTAACACATGTATTCTCTCCCTCTTTCGTACTGATTAGGTTTCCAACAACAATATCGCGGGTTTCATTGAAGGACTTGACCGATTTTTTTTTACTTCGTAGTTCGTAATGAGGAGAAAATAGTAGGTAAGTTGTTCTACATTGTCATTCTGCAGCTAGAAATAGAGTAATAAAATACTCTTTTTGTCCCAGTAGTCTTTTTTTTTTTAAGGACAATGATAATAGTAATTTTGAAAAAAAAGTGATAAATTTCATGGTAGTTTTAGCAACTAAATAGGGTATAGTACTACCTTCAAAAAAATAGAGAACGGTACGTACTTATAATGTAGTACTAAAGACAAAGATAAGTACCTAAAGAAATTACTAACAATCAAAATTATAACAGTTAAAAAAATAATAATCACTACCAACTCGATTCTGCTCATCAATAAAATACGGGAGATCAAACTACTCAACGAGAGAGAAATCGGAAAATGATATTAAAATATTTCATTAATCAGACACAACGAAGAAAAGGCAATAAAGGAAAAAACAAATTGAAGAACGAACAAGGCCTTCACTAACAGTCAACTTGGAAAGCCATGGGAAAAGAAATAAATTAATTAACATGAAAATTCACACAAATGAACTTAAAAGAGAGAGCTAATATTATACGATGACATGCAAGCAGTAGATCTGCAAATTCAGCGAGACATTCCGGCGTCAAAAGTTGGAGGCATATTCGTCATTCCGGCACCCATTCTGTTCCATTTTTCCGCATTTGCTATCCATCCTATATACAGAGAAAAAAAAAACCCCAAACGAATAACACAATTAACTTCCATTCATACTATTCTTAATTTGCGCATGATATATATTAGTACTGTTAATTATTCTTTTGTGTGTGCAAAAATGGTATAAAGTATGTGTAGGTAGGGTTACCATGGGAGGGGTCGAAACCACGATTCTTGAGCTCTCTGTACTCTTGACACACAGCACAAGGGAGGCAACAATAATGAACAAGACAATCATTACAAGGGTCTTCGGAGAGATTGAAAACAGCCCTCAATTTGGTACGATACGTGCATGTGTAACAGGCGGCGAAACCGATATGCGCCAGGCAATAGTAGATGATTCCGGCATGAGCGCAGGCTGTCACGACCAGTTTTTCAAAACCAACGAATTATTATAGAGAGAAAGTTTAATCACATTTGCGAGAGAGGTAAAATTTAAATTATCTTATTATCAGATACTACTTCTCGTCCCACAAAAATAGTCCACATTGAGTTTTCAAATTTGTACTAAAACTAGTGCAAATCTCAAAATTCGATGTGAACTTTTTTTTTTTTTGAGACGGAGATAATACTATATCATCGAAAAATAATGTGACACAAACAAATAAAAAAGATTGCGACTATAAGCACACTTACATGTGGTGCCTCTGTCAATAATTTCAGCATTTCTGCCAAAAGTGATGCAAGGGCAGCAACAAGTAACACAACCTACACAAAAAAGATGTGTTCAAAATTAATCAAACGCATTCCAACAAATTGAAGTAAACAACCAACTAGATTAGGTACAAATTTAAATTAATTAACTTACAATTGGATGAATCTTCAAAGCAACCACACAAGCCGGTAGACCACGGTCCCGGCGCTGCCGGAACCGGAGCTCCGTATGACGATGGTTGTTGCATCCCAGCAACTGGTTTGACATTTCCATCCCCGGGATTCATGGTGGTCTTGCTAATTTTTCACTTGATTTTCAAGAGAGAATTAATGTGATAAAGGAAGACTATGTATTAGTTTTCCTAGTGCAAGTCTCCTTAGTTTGTAGCTAGAGACATGCAGCTCACTCCAGTAAATATAGACTTGTGCACGTTAACATTACAACCTTAATGAACTGTCTTATTCTTTCAAATTATTATTTTTTTTAAAGTTCCGTAACGATTGGTTTAATTAACAAGACTTTCTGAATTCGTCATCAACGTAATTTTATTTGGACAAGTTGAACCCATGAAACCTACGTGCATGACAAACGAGAGGGAACTTATCCTCTTAAAAGTCTTTTTTAATTGCTGAAATTGATATCATTGAAAATTGGAGCGGCATCATGGAAATACTCAAAGTTCCTTCATTGATCTTGGTTTACCAATCAATTTGGGTTTTAACATGTCATGATTAACTGTTGTCACTTCTTTGTTTCCCCCAAGATAAAGATTGTCTTACCTTATCTCTTATCGTAATACAACAAAATAAATACATATAAAAAGCTTACCTTGAGAGTTAATGAACAAACCAAAAGTGAAATATGAGACAATATCAATAATTTGATGTAATTAACAAATGTGGTGCACGACCTTAATTCAATCGTTTGCTCTTTAACCAGGTAGTTTATGATCGATCACTCTGGAGATGAATGGTGTGCACGATCCCTTGACGAACAAAAAAATTGTAAATAAAACCTAAATTTTGTGATAGAAAGTCTTTAGGTTGACTTGCCGATTTATGATTGAGATTCTTTCATGACGAGGAGATTAGAGCTGTCACTAAGCTGGGAGCGGCGAGGTATATATCAAATCATCAATGGAAGTGGAAGAACTTTATAAATGAGCCCATAGAAATCAGTACTCTATGGATTTTTAAAATATATATGAGTTCATTGTTTTTAAATTAAAACAATATTATTAACAAAACTCCTATTTTAAACAAGAAATTAGGATAACGAGAGAAAACGAAGACCATTGAACCTTGATGGTAGCCACTTTCTATGCAGTACTGTCTGCATTACCTTATCCTTGAAAGTCAAATTACACTATGTATATATTGCGTAGTTGGCTTATTATAATAGCAAGTCTTTTGTAGTAAAGTACTATTTTACTAAAGGAAATAGGAATAATTTGGCGACCAAAACTGAATATTATTATCCTCACTTGATGAATTACCCCAAATATACCAACTAACCTCCCAATGCATTTGGTGCCAATTAAAACTCTTGGGGGGATTAAAAAAAAAAAAATTCAAACTATTCAGAAAATGCTAGCAGAACGTGCTATATATGTGATGGTCAACATTATCGAGAAGAACTCTTTTTTTTTTTTTTTGATTCAATATCAAGAAGAACTCTATTCTTAGAAAACTAGATTTGGGTTTTTCCGACAGGGTTTTGTTTAGTATGATCTTATTCATAAGACACGAATTAAAATTAAGTGAACAATAAAGATCAAAAGATGTGTAATACTGATACATGCATACGCAGGGTAAGTATCATTGTCAAAAAATAATTGAAACTTCCTTTTCGCAGCTCTTATGGAAAAAAATTCGGCCCTATTATTCCTATGCCTCTTATTTTTTCGTCTTCCTCCATTTTTGGTCACATGGGACGCCTATATCAGGCTATCACCAAACGAGTTGGTTTGAGCTGTGAATGGAATCAAATGATAGCCGAAGTCAATGTCAACTCCTTTGGTTTTATTTTAGTTGTCAGTTAGTCGTCGCCTACTTCGGCAAATTGGCAATCAAAGTCAACTGTATTAGCAAGTCAATTTATTCCTAAAATCCAATTCATCTTCAAGAAAAAACCAAAAAGAAAAGAAAAAAAAATTCAACCATTTCACATTCCAATTATCTAAGCATCATCACAACCAATGAGGTAATACCATGCACCAAATCATTGCTTTTGCATTCATTTTAAAACCCCTTAAATTAACTTCTCCACCATAATCATTCTTATCAAGTTCAATATCAACTTCTTCATTTATTTTTTCCCTCCCGAAATATTGTACTATCTGTTCAATTTTTACATGTAAAAAAATCTACCGATTTCTCCACCTTTTCCCAAGTGTTACATTTTCTTAGTACTTCCCTACTTTGAAATTCACGTCATGAATATGACACATTTTCTTGCTTAGTTGTAAATTGCTTTGCCCTATTTTTTTTTTTTTCGTTTACTTGGTCCTTTATAGAGTGAGATATAGGATTTTAAGAACTTCATTACAAACACCATCTAGCTAGCTAGCTAAATCATATATTCCTAACTCAAGTTTCTCCCTATCGAAAGAGTTTAGCTAATCGGAAAAGATGGGCCGGCCAGGTGCGAGTTCCGGCACCTCTCAAACCCCTGAAACCATTGATGATGCTCCTCCTCCATTTGAGTCACCCCTCGATGATAATCAGCAAGAAACTTATGACAATGAAACACCAAAGAACAAAGTAGACACTGCACCACCACAAGTGCCAATGCCGGCGGCAGCTCCGGCACCGCCGGCGGCGGCGGCATTCCCTCCTCAAACCTCCCAACCATCTCAGTTTCCACCACAAAATACCCAAACGAGGTCAATCCATGGCCAACCACAAGCCTTCCCGCCATCTCAACAAGATCATCCCCAATCTTTTCCTCCACAAGCTTTTCCTCCGCCTCAACATGATCAACCACACGCCTTTCCGCCGCCTCAGAGCGCCGGAGGTCAACCACAAGCTTTCCCTCCTCCCCAATCATTTCCTCCACCACAAAGCCAGCCAGCAGCCTTCCCTCCTCCGCAACCTGAAATCCACTCTTTTCCACCTCAACAACATCAGTATCATCCGCAGCCTAATCCAACTTTTCCGACCGCCGGAACTAATCCCGGATTTGCACCCAATCCGATGAATCAGCCAATGCCGAATACCGGTTTTGTTCAACCCAATATTCCCCATCAGGGATTCCCAGTTGCACCAAATGCTCAGATTAATCCCTGGCAAGCAGAATTTTTTGGTTGCATGGATGATCCCACAAATGGTAAGTCAACAAAACAGAGTGCTCTGTTCTTCTCAATTCACATTCGGGATTCATCCAAAAAAAATCTTCCAATTGATCTGAAATCACTTTTTGGTTTGGCATTTCCAGCTCTTATAACAGCTTGCTTTCCCTGCGTGACATTTGGGCAAATTGCTGAGATTATTGATAATGGCCAAACTTGTAAGTCTTTTTTCCGATTGCATCCCTTTCTTTGATCGGAAAACAGAGTTGATTAACACAAAGTTCCTTTTTTTTTTTCCTTTCCTTTCTAATACAGCTTGTGCTACAAGTGGATTGCTGTACGGTTGCATAGCTTTCTTCATTGCAATGCCATGCTTGATTTCATGCACTTATAGATCAAAGCTGAGGGCAAAATATGGACTAATGGAATCCCCAGCTCCTGATTGGCTCATTCATTGCTTATGTGAACCTTGTGCACTCTGTCAAGAATACAGAGAGCTTCAGAAAAGGGGCATTGATCCTTCCATTGGTAATTTGGGTTGCTTTTTTGTGATTTTGATTTGGGTTTTGTTATTGGGTTCTTATGGTATGAATGAATTTATATTTTTCAGGGTGGCAAGGAAATTTGGCAAGGGCTCAGCAGAGGGTGCAGATGGGCAACATGACCCCTCCAATGAAGCAAAACATGATGGCCTAAATCAAGATTCAATTTTTCCTTCTTCTTTATACATTTCTATACTGTGGAGCAAATATGTGCAACCAAAATCTTCACGTAATTTTGTTGTGTAATTGTGCTTAAACTCTCCTGTAATTTGTACTTTTTTGTTTTTTTCTACTTTGAGGTTTGTTTTACGATATATATTTGAGAATTGTATGATATGTATGTAATACATATACTTTGGTTTCAACAATGCTATATACTTCAAGGATTTTCTTTCACCACTTATCGTTTCTGGAAATGCAAATATTCGTATGATCAACTTCTTTTGTTCTCTCTCTATATATATATGTTTATGCTCTCTTTTTTTGTTCTATATATATAGTACTTCAGATTGACTGATTATAACCTTGACAACACAACTTGTACTCCATAAGGCAAATGATTTCGAAAAAAAAAAATAAAATTATTTCCGTGTGTTTCATGAATAGTATAAGAATCATTAGCAACCCTCACATCATAAGTCTGCTAAAAACAGAAGTAAAACGTGGGATTCGCTAGTAATTCTCAACAAGCAGTCAGTGAAAAATGTAACACGACGGAGAGAAATTTTGTGTTATTAATTAATAATTTGTGTCGTTAAATCCAGTGTACATACAAATTCACATGTATAATAATACCCCAAAGAAAAAATAAAAATTCACATATATAATCAAAGTCCTGCGAAATACAGCAACTGTGAAATCAAAGTTTAACTTTTTTTTTTTTTTTTTTGGGAAAAAGAAAGTCTAACTAGAAGCAAGTGAATTCCCAAAGTCCTGAATCCATATGTATAATTTCTTCAAGGAAATCAACCATTTCATGTTCGTATTGGCATGAATTAATCAATTATGAACTACTCTTTCTCTCCGTCCCAAAATAAGGGAAAGAAGATGTATCAAAGTTTAAAAAAAGGTTACAAGAAATGGTGAATCTGAAGTCCAAAAATGTCCACCACTACAATTTTAATACATGGATTTTAAATCAACCTTTTCCATCAATCAACATGTACACCAATCACTAGCACTTCAATGTAAGAAAGCATATTATTTTGCTGCCCGCAACTCTTTTAACATTTTCTAAGTTCCTTCCTGCTGTCAGTGTAACTCAAATTCATTTATACAAGTCATATATAAGCATTTAGTGGTGTGCATTATGTTTATAACTTGGTCCTCTTCTGAGCTGTTGCCTGTATGTCAAAGACTCAATAACTAGATGAATTTGTAAGACCACATTAGTTTCATTCTTCACTTCTAACACTTGTAGAAAGAGTTATTCTTTTTGTAGTCTGCCTTTGCAGTTTTGAAATTAGTCATTCTGATTCAAGTAGGAGAGACAGCACAATTTACCCGATTCATGTAACTAGAAATTGAGGCTGACCAAGCAGCTAATCAAAACCATGGGTCGTGATCCAAATGCGGGAACCCAACAAAGAGGACAACAACAGCCTCAAGAACATCCATTTCGACCTGCAGCATTGTCTCAAATCCCTGAAACCATTGATGATCCATTTGGATCGCCCATTCATCAAGGAACTAATTATCAGAATGATGAATCCTCAAAGAAGTCTAGAGGAGGAGTATCAATGGCGGCGACGGCATTCCCTCCTCAAAGCTCACAACAAAATCAAAATGCTCCCCAGCACCCAACTCAGTTCCCTCCACAGAACACTTCCCAAATGAAATCACCTGCAAATTTTCAGGGCCAACCACAATCCTTTCCTCAGGCTGATCAGCCACATGCCTTTTCACCGCCTCAAGAAGAACAACCACAACCCTTTCCACCACCTCAAGATTTCCATCAACCACCACCACATTCATTCCAACATCCAAACATGGCACAATATCAGGTTCCTCCAAATTTTCCCAATGCGGGCGCGGGAAGTAGCGCTGGAATCGGACAGAATCCAATCAACCAGTCAATGCAAAATCAGAATCCTTTTCAAGTTCAACTCAACAATATCCCTACTCAAGCTTGGAGGACTGAGTTATTCGGCTGCATGGATGACCCGACAAACGGTACTCGAAATCGCCGCAGCTAAAACGTACACAAATTATACTCGTTTGAAAGTATCTGAAATTACATTTGCATTTTCAGCATTTATGACGGCCTGCTTTCCATTCGTGACTTTTGGCCAAATTGCTGAGATTCTTGATAATGGACAAACCTGTAAGTCTTTCAATCAATCACTTTTCCCTGCTTTTGAAATGAAACCTTTCTTAACCCAACTTTTTCTTTCTGGGTACAATGCAAAATCTTCTATCACTAATTACAGCTTGTGCAACAAGTGGAATGCTGTATTTTTTCATCTCTCTCTTTGGAACACCATGCCTATTGTCATGCGCCTACAGAACAAAGCTGAGGAGACGATTCGGGCTGATCGAAACGCCGGCACCTGATTGGTTGGTTCACCTCTGTTGTTCACCTTGTGCTATTTGTCAAGAGTACAGAGAGCTTCAACAAAGGGGCCTTGATCCTTCCATTGGTAATTCTTCCCCATTTCCATTTACTTACTTACTTTTTTTTTGGGGTGGGGGTTCTTACATTTCTTTGTTGGAATACATTGATAATCATCAGGATGGGAAGGAAATGTGGCAAGGAGTCGGCAGAGGGTGCAGATGAATATGACCCCTCCAATGAAGCAAAACATGATGGCCTAATCAAATTAATTTCTACTGTAATTTTATTTTACCATGAATTTCTTGTGTAGCCGTTTTTTATTCTTGCTACCAATCTATTTTTTTCCCTCGTGTATTACAGAGCATATTTTTCCTTACCATTTATATTGTAGCAAAAAGAAAATGCAAAATTTTTACGATCATTTTTTTTTTTTTTTGGTTCTAAGCTTATATTTCTTGGCTGTTAGTCCGTTACACTTTTTCTTAACAAGTGTGCATGTTTAATGGAAACCGACTATCAGCCTAACAAATCAAACACATTCAGATTTATAATCAGTTTGACTAATCAGACACGATTTCGCAAGTTGTAATTAGTATTCTTTCCTGCTCAAAATAAGAGTAAAAATTGTACTACCTCCGTCCCACAAAAATAGTCCACATTAAGTTTTCAAATTTGTACTAAAAACAGTACAAAACTTAAAAACTCAATGTGAACTATTTTTGTGGGACGGAGGAGGGAGTATCATGAATAAAAATGAATTTTATTTTGAGATGAAGAAGTGATTACCAACAACGCTGTGATCTTGAAAACCACCAAATCCATTCTTGTGTTTCAAACTAGGATAGTAGCAGGTAACAACAATATCCCTATGTATTAGTATCTGGTAACTTATATGGCTTATAGACCAAGCATTGTTCAGACAATTAAAGTCAACTGCTATAAACCCCTCCAAAACAGAGTAAATTATAAGTTCAATTGAATATCTCCAAGAACATTTCGATTCATCACCCGAACTAATCTTAAGAGTTTAGACTCCGTCCCACTCTTCTTGAAAGTCGAGATGATGGTTTCTAAACATGTCCACAACTACATACTTATGACCAAATTCTATCTGGCTTACAACCCTCTTTTAAATTTTTTTTTAAAGTTCCACTCCTCCTTGATGTCAAACTCGAATCATTTAACTAAAACAATTTCGATACATTCCAATATCCAAGCATCATAATCATATAGTGATAGTACATCATTTTGTGTTGTCAATAACACTTTGATAAGTTAACTCCCTCACTCAAATTTCTTAGATTAAATTAAGGAAGAACATGCCTCGTCCAAAAGTTGGTTCCTCTCAATCTCAGCAACAACAGCCTGATCAAGAACATTAATTTCAACCTGAAACCATTGGTGATCATGCAACACCTCCTCCGTTCCATCAGTCCGCCGTTGATAATCACAATCCGCAAGTACAAACTCCCCGTCAACATCATCAATCAAAAGGGTCATCGATGACGCCGGCGGGGGCTTTACCTCCTCAAAGCTTAGACCCAAATCAAGCTGATGATGCTCCCCAGAAGCCACCACTAGCTTCTTTTGATCAACATCAGTCTCAGGCTTTTCCCAACCCCAACCCAAACCTCAAGCCTTCCCTCCTACTCAGGATTATCATCATGTTCCACCACCACAAGCATTTCCTCCGCCTCCAGAAATCCAGCCAGAAGCCTTTCCTCCTCCTCAACCTGAGAAGGTGCACGCTTTTCCACCAGTACAAGCAACAATGCACCATCAATATCCACCAACGCAAAATCAGCAGGCTCCACTTCCACAGAGTTCTTCAACCATTGGAACCAATACCGGAATCGGACAGATTCCAATTCCTCAGGCAATGCCAAACCAACCACATTCTGCTCAACCCAATCCCCAGGTTATCAGCACACCCCAACAGGAATTTCAAGTTACTCTTGGGACGACCCATCCTTGGAAGACAGATTTGGTAGCATACATGGACAACCCTTCAAATGCTAATCTCAAATTAAATAAAAATCCTAGTCACCGATGAACCCAAAACAGAGATACTCTGTTTTTCTTTTAACCCAGTTTTTTACTCTTGTTCTTTTAACCTTTTCTCCTCAAATGATCTCAAGATACTTTTTTTTTTCCGCACTAATAACAGCCTTCCTTCCATGCATTACTTTTGGACAAATTGCGGAGATAATTGATAATGGGCAAACTTGTTAGTCCTCTTACTTAATCCGCTTCCCCTCCTTCTTTGATCAATAAAAATCATTAATTTGATTCGAAAGAATAAATCTGTATTACAGCTTGTGCTACAAGTGGTTTGCTCTATGGTTGTATGGCTCTGTTTGGAGTTCCATGCCTATTGTGATGTAGCTACAGAACAAAGCGGAGGGGAAGATATGGGGCTAAATGCATGGAACTGCATTTTCTTGATTTGGTGGGAAATGCATTTTGCTGAGGAAAGGGTGGGAAGGAAATATGTCAAAGAAGCAACTGATGCAGATGGGTTCTATGACGCCTCCCATGACCCACAAAATATGATGGCCTAATCAAAATGGATTTGTTCTTCTTTGGATAAAACAATGATTAATGAACTCCTCGTTTAGACAAAAGTTTAGACAAAAGTTTTAATTGGAAATCTAAAACTACTATACCTCCATAGCCTTAAGAAGTGCATTTTTAATATAAGAAGAAGCCTGCTGGGGGTTGGCATGGGCGCCACCAAGAGGTTCCTGGAGACAATGACAGCAAAGGATTCATCAACTAGTTATCCATCACCAAAGCTGCAGAATCAATTGCAACATTAAAAAGAAAGTGGCTTACCGGAATGCCACTACCTGCAATCCTTAGCCTAAAATGTTCTTGAGCAGTAATGTTCAGATTTTCAGGCGCCTTACAAAATGTGGAGAGATGATAGTGTAAGTCGGCTTTCTCAGACACCAAAAACCAATTTGCAAGTTTCAAAAGGTTACCTTAAGTGCTGCAGCAGAAAATTTCTGCAGTATTGTAGCGCTTGCATCCGTACTAGTTGAAAAGAAAATAAACAAACAGAGCAATTTTCAGAAATGTATATACTCAGGCATTTGGAATATTAATTGAAGGAATCAGACTAAGACTGTTACTTAGCCAGGCACATTGGTTGGCCCATTCAGACTACATCTAACAGCATATTTTATGAAGAATGTATAGCTTTGAGCAGTAATCATGGTTTATGGCTAAAATATTATATTGTACTTTTATCAATCAAGACACAGCTGGGATTTTTTGATACACTCTATGGGAAAACAGGAGATCACCTTTCAACATAAAATGCAGAGTTCTCCAGCATTAGCAATTTGTTCGCACAAGCGATTGCAAGTGCAACACATGGTCCACCTTCTCCGGTCACTATCGTTATAATTGGAACTTTCAAGCCAAATAAAGTCCTTAAATAATGTGCTATTGCTTCACCCTGCAGGGTTTATTCAATTTCGAAAAGAAAAAATATGTGGATAAAAAAAATAAAGATGTGCTGTTCAAAAAAAAAGTCAAGCAGCCATTGGTTCACCTGACCAAGCTCCTCTGATTTTAAATCAGCAAAAGAACCAGTTGTGTCAACAAATATGACAATGGGGAAACCACAATGTTCAGCATATTTCAACATTCCCAAAGCCTTCTTGTAGCTGTGAATAAAAATTAGCAACAAAGTGTATGTTACTAAACATAGTATTTCAAACAAGCAAAGGTGAATAAAGTGGCATATATCCTACAGAGAAGAAGCAGCATAAAGCAGCACGTATCATTTTCAAGGAGAAAACCGAGAACTCTGTGCTATAGAAAAACAGACTGGGAATTTTCCTTACGAAAGCTTGAAAGCAGAAATGAAATGGTGACAATAAGTATATACCCCTTCTTATGAAATGAACAAAATGTTGTGATACTAAATCATGCGTACATGTAGAAGTAGACCACTGGATGCTTTTGGTAGAAAATATGCAGAACATGCGTAGATGTAGTTCTACAAATTGATCTTGTTCTTTCCAGAACATGAATGTGAAGCTTACCCGTGTGGAGTTGGCACCGCAAAGTTATGCTCAAAATCCTCCTCTGTGTTCCTTACTTTCCGATGACCAATGAACATGTAATATTCACCTTCAATTCTCCCTAAAGCAGTCACAATTGTTGGATCATCATCATAGCCTGCTTGGTCTTCAAGGAGTTCCCACTTTATCATGTTGAAAATGCACAAGACTTTTTGCTTACTAAACAATATCATGCCATTAATAAAAATCAAATGAAAGATGGTGACATACTGTTTCTGTGATGTTTTTAATGTAATGAAGAACAGTCGGCCTAAAAGGATGTTTAGCAAAGGTCATGCGCTGAATTTGCGTCAAATACTTGTAAAAACGTATGTTAGCCTGAAAGTACACCAAGGAGAAAAGAAGCAAGAAGGAATCTTTAGCCGTGGAATTGTAAGCTTGTCAGATGAAGTGGTAGAATTTTGTAGATCTTACCCAAACCCAGATTGTTCGGGTGCTAAACTGATAAGTTAAAAGCGACAAGGCATGAGAAATGACATCAACCAAAGTGCCTATTAATTACCTCAGCATACTTTGATTCCAGAAGCTTGACCTGATCAAAGAAATCTACTAATCGATTTTGTGCCACAACACTATGTAGCTGTGCAACAGAAAATATGAATGAGATCCTGAGTTGAATCAAATGAGAAGCATAAACTAGGTCTATGGGCATCAGAAGCTAAAACAATACCACATCCATACATCTACATTTTGCATTTCGAGACAAATTAAGCCTACAGTTAACTAAATATTGACTCACTCGAGAGGTATCTTACATGCAAAAAAAAAAAAAAAAAAAAGCTAGAAACAAATTTACCTTTATGATCTTTTCATCCAAAGCAATGAGTGGCTTCTCAAATGAAAAAGTCATCGACTTCTCTTTTCATGATCCAGAGGGTCTAGATACTTCTTCAATGGGTTGTCACAGTTTAGATCAATATCATCAGGCCATGGGTCATCATGCTTGTTCCCCTTCTTAATCATTGCAGCCATAGGAAACTTATGCCTGCTCCTCACCCTACACACTTAGACATTTTTGAACCAAACGCTGTCTGAACTCTTACACAAGCCTCTGAAAACAGTACTTCTAGCTGAGAACTCATATCTTAACTTCAAAATTTTATAGTCTTCTCCCCTTCCTCTGGAACTTGTCGCGGCTGTCATAGATAATGTAGTCATCTCCAATAGCAATTACCTGGGTTGCATCAAATATCATAATTTGCAATCTACATTTGAGATTGATTTAAACAACATCTTCAACTTCAAAATGCTTGCGAATTAATAATAACGGTCATTCTTTAGTTGTTTTCATATATAGCAAAAGAAGTAGTAGTTCTTCACTTTTCATACACACACACACACACACACACACACACACACACACACACACACACACACACACATATATATATATATATATATATTCTGGTTTCTGCCTACTCTCAAGAACAACAGAAAGAGAAATTCTAAGGGTTCCATTTTGGTTAAGAAGTAAAGACTGAAATATTGAGCCTGGCCTAGAAACTAAAGAGAAGAAAGATTCACTAAATATGCATCATTCCAAAGTTCTAAAGCACATCAAGTTTCAATTATCAGAATTGGTGAATCAATTTACCATTCTTTCAATCCTCTACATTTACATTTTAAAAAAGGTAGGAAACCCTAGAACGTAATCTGATGTAACCTCTCCACAAACTTGCACATGATCGGAACTTGACAAATCAATTTGGTCTTGAGATCTACACATGCATTGATGTTGTTCGCACTACAACTTCTAGTTCTTACAGCCATGCCATAAACAGCATGTAGTTGGCTTCGTTGGCTTGAATTAAGCCTTTTGACTCTGGAAGTGACCCAGGCGGAAGCTTGAAAAGAAGGGATATCACTTTGATTCATAAATTAACAGTCAAAGATCAACTCCTTAGGAAATGGTACAACAACAAATCCTAGACAAGTTTTCCTATTATAAGTAGAATTCTATTAAGGGAAATACCATAATACTAAAACGAATCTCCTAAAAGCATAATTTCACATTAATTCTAGCTGTCAGTACATTTCCGCCGTGCATGAATGTAATCGCTAAATATATAGTATACTTCCTCTCTCCCAAAATAATAGTCCATTTGTAATAAAAATGAAATACGAAACAAGACAATACGGATGGAGTATATGCAAACGTAGGTAGATAAACTCATCAAGCTAAAATACCAAGACTGCAGCCAATCGATAATTAACGTTGGCTTTGGAGGATGCCCAACTGCGCTATCATTGTCAAGTGTTTTCATGATAATACTTGGTCCTGGTCTCCGTACCAATTTTCCAGTACCATCCCAGTACCAAATGAGAGATATTACAATCCCCCCCCAAAAAAAATAATAATAATAAATTGATCTCGGTCATTCCCTGAAAACCAATGCAAAAAATCAACCGAATGCATAACCAGAATCTTACCACCGCCTAAGTATCACCAACTCAACTAGCATCATGAAATTAGTAAAAGTATTAAAATTTCTTGTCGTATATTCAATAAACAAACGGGAAAAGGATTTACCTTTGGTGGAGCAGCAATATATGGCAACAACAAAGAAACTCCCAATAGAGGACAAAGGAAGAGAAATTAAACCCTAAAAGGGCAGTGGTGGTAGTGGCATGTGATTGATGTTCACTTTGTAATATAAGTCTAATAGGTGTTAGACCCGTCCGATGGATGGGAGCACATATACATAGATATGAACTTTGAATTAAATAATTATATATTTTACAATATTTCTTGGTAGACTACATTGGTAGTCTGGGATGGAAATGTTGATTAGGGTGGTTAAGAGATTATGATAAAGAATTTTTATTTTTTTTTTTTTGGAAAAGATTTATGATAAAGAATGGTTACTACAAAAACAACCATCCTAACCTGTTATAGAGGCCATCTAATTTTTTAATAAGAAAAATTAAAAAAAAAAAGGTTGGATATCAGGACCTTTTTCTAAAAATTTGGATTTCAAAACATTAAAAAAGAAGAATAAAGAATAGCCATAATTGAAACCTTTTAATATTTTTATTCTTTGCCAGAGCCATTCTTAGCCCCGCTGCATTAACCCATCACCATAGTATTTTAACTCAATTCCATATTAAAGTTAAATTATAGAAGTTTCAGGTTAGTCTAACTTCTTTAATTATTTTAATAAATTATTAATATAAAATTCTTTTTCAGTTGCGTTTTTTTTAGGAGGAAGAGATCCGTCCATCGGATTTGTAGGGATTTGGTCGAATCACTATACAGTTTGAATTTTTTCACTTGCGTTTTTTTTTTTTTTGTTTTTATTGTTTTATTTTGTACATTTTTATATCTAGAAAATTAAGAAAATGCCACATAGGATTTTGTGCTCCTTGACTTTAGATTTCTCTCTCTAGTTTTTGCCTTAGTATAGTATGTAGACTAGGTGTTAGACCCGTCCGATAGACGGGGAGCACATATACATAGACATTACTACATAAACAAATCAAAAAAATGTTAATATTTGTATAGATTTTTGTATTTTTATAAAATATGTAATGAATTTATTAAAAAATATAAAACACAAACATCGATAATACTTTACCAAACGAATACACTGATAATTTATTTAACGCAAAAACAATTGTTAAGATATTAAAAAAAATGAACTTTGAATTAAATAATTATATATCTTGCAATATTTCTTGGTAGACTACATTGGAATTCTGGGGTGGAAAGATCGGCTAGGGTGATTAAGAAATTATGATAAGGAATTTTTTTTTTTTGAAAAAGTTTATGATAAGGAATGGTTATTACAGAAACAACAATCTTAACTTGTTGTAGAGGCCATCCAATTTTTTAATAAGAAAATTAAAAAAATTAAAAAAATTAGATATCAGGACCTTTATTCCTTGTTTCGATGTGACTTTTGATTTTAGTATTTTTATTTTATTATTTTTTTTAAATATGATGCATTCTCACTTTCCTTTATTTTTTATTTTTTAGCCTCACTTGTTCGTTTAATTTAGTTATTTCTCATTACCTATCTAATAATTTATCTTTAATTAACTTACCCGTTGTCAAAAATATTTTATTTAAAATGTGAGGGTGAGACTATTTTTTTACCCTTAAAGAATATCATTTACCTATTTTTTTCTTCATTAATATCTTTCTAGACACTTCCGCAAATGTCAAATCTATCCTACTCATTTTTTTTTTTTGAATTAAAGTTAGATTTTTTAGCCCCACTACATCAACCCATCACCATAGTATTTTAACTCAATTCCATATTTGAAGCTAAATTATAGAAGTTTCATGTTGGCCTAACTTCTTTAATTATTTTAATAAATTATTAATATAAAATTCTTTTTCAGTTGCGTTTTTTTTTTTAGAAAGAAGAGATCCGTCCATCGGATTTGCAGAGATTTGGTCGAATCAATATAGGGTTTGGATTTTTTTAGTTGCATTTTTTTTTTTTTGGTTTTTATTGTTTTGTTTTGTGCATTTTTATATATAGAAAATTAAGAAAATGCCACATAGGATTGGCATGTGCTCCTTAACTTTAGATTTCTCTCTCTGGTTTTTGCCTTAGTATAGTATGTAGATAGATAGATAGACTAGAAGGCAACTCTTTGCTGCCGTGATATATTTTATACTAACTAAAATATACTAAAATATTTTTCCTTTTCTTTAAAAAAAAAACTATATTCAAGTTTTGTTTTGTTTTTTTTTTTTTGGAAATTGGTACCTTTATTCATAATATATATATATATATATATATATAATTTCCGTTACAATGGCTATCCATCATAGATTTGATAATTCTCTTCTCGTTCTTCTGCAATAACCATCAGCATATATCAACAAGGCCACCATCTATTTGGTAAGTTTTTCTTATCTTCTTTTTTTTGTTTATCTGATCTTCTATACGTACAATTATTTTCCCACTTCTTTGTTATTTGGTGTGAATTTCAGTTTTTTTCTTCCTTTTTTTTTTGTGCTTCATCGTTTCTTTGGAAATTTGATTGATGAGGGGCTGCTGTTTATATCTTTGTTATATTAATTAAGAGATCCATTTTTGAAGAATTTAGTCTTCATATAGAACTGCAATACAATGTGATTGTAATGTTCCAACTTTGTGCACTTTCTTGATTTTACGTT